ATTAAAAATAAATAAAATGTTTTTTCAAATTATTATTGATTTTGATTTTAATAGTAATCTGTGTAAAATTTCATTCTAAAATCTCAATATAGATTTATTTTTTTGGTCTTTTAAAGTTGATTTTTATGAAAGTTTATAATAAATATATATTGAACTTTTTTTAGTTCAACTTGCAAGTTTGAAATTGACATCATTAAATAGAAAATTTTATTAGAGTTAAAGAAATGATATTGTTAAAATTAATATGCAGTCAAGAATTTGTACAATCACTATTAACTATATGAGAAAAACTTAGAATATTAAATATAAATATTAAAAATATTCAACAATTGAAATATTAAGATTTAAATTAATTTTTTAATTATTCAAAAATTTATTTTAATTGAAAGTTATCTCTAAATTTATATAATAATTTTTTAAGAAAACATATTACTCTTTAATTGTGATGTAAAAAAAAAAATGAAAATAAGTACATGTGAGACACAGCATTAGTTAAAATTTCAAATATCGCATGAATTTCGTTAATTAAATTATTTCATACTTAATTCGATGAATAGCAAGGAAAATTCTTTTATCACGGTCGCTATTTTAATTTAACTCAAAGGTAATAATAATAAGAGAATTGACATATCTTTATTTTCTGTAAATTAGGTCACTTCTTCTACTGGTTGATTCATTCAAAATATATTTGATTGTTCGAGTACTACTGTTATTCATGTTTTTTTTTTTGTTATCAATTTTTAGTTATAGTTCAGGTTTCAAAAAGAATCATATAAGGACGAAGTTTTGTGTACTTTATAATTCATTAGACTTGTATTAACATCGAATCGCTTTTTTGGTGTATCATCTTTAAGTTGATGGTCAAATAAATTAATGATAATCCACTTAAACGAATGTACTCATTGGAATCTATAGTAGTTTTAAAGCCGGTTTTAATGAAATATGTATGTACGTTTACTTGTGTGTCCCTATTGATTTTATTTTTTATTTACTTGTATCTTCCTCAATACTACATATGACCTAAATCTTTCTTCCTAAAAAAATACACTTTATCAGTTTTTTGTAAAACATTTTAAAAAATTTTGAAGTAATAATATTAATTATGGTTTCCATATAATATTATTAAAATGGGTTTAATTATTATTTAATAAAAAAACAAATAAAATTTTATTCAAGTATTAAATAAACTGTCTTCTAAAACTTCTAAAAATATTTCAAGTTAAGAATAATGATAAGTATTCCACTTCTCTAACTTTGTCTTATTTGTAAACAGGAATGTTTGTTTCCCAAAAATAGTATTGGTGATATTTGTGTATTTATTACATGTATGAAATGTTTAAATCCACTATTTGTTACTTTTTACTAACACGAGTTTATTGGTTCCGTTATAATTTATTAACACAATCTTAAATAGACCCGAGGTCTGTAAACACATTTCATTTTTTTTACTCACTTTTATATTGAATACATTTAACTATTAATGTTTATTTTTTAATAGTAAGAAAAAATTATTTTATATAACAATAATAATTGTTTACCTTATACTTCAAAAACTAACATTACTTATATTGTTATTTTATAACAACATATGTCTCGAGTCGTATTTTTTAATAATAATGAAATTTAAATTTGACTTATTCAATAACTAGTTTAAAATTAATTAGATTGATAGATAAACACAATTATTTCGTCTGTCCTATTTTAGGTTGAGAAATGTCTTATTAGTGTCTTTAAGTTTAAAACTTAATTGATAGTTTTTTTTTTCTTTTTGTGTACTTTACTATTTGAAAATACATTTTAAAATTAATCAGAATTGGAAAACTTATAGCCAACAAAGTTTCTTGCTTAAACGAAAAAAATTAATGATATCCTAGCAGCTTTTTTTGTTAGAAAAACGATTTTTTCGACAACTAAACCATTTTTCGGGTGTGTTCTGATTATTAATTATTTCCTATGTAGTAATAATATCTTTTTTTTTGTAAGATCAGAGTTTCTACTCTTCCTAGAAACTCGAAAAATTTTAACTAATTGATGACTACGAATAAGTCTCATTGATAAAGAAATATCTAGAAAATTGTTGAAAATTGGACTTAATTTTACTGTTGTTTAATAGTTTTGAGTGACCAAATTTAAAGTCTTTAATTAAGAAAAACAAAACTATTAGTCTGTGATTTTCTCTATTTATAATAAACATTGTTGTCCCATTGCAGAGAAAATCTCTTAATTGTATTTAGATTGTGCTTACTGTATGACTTGCAGTCGCATGAGTGTTAGGAATAAACATTACTGGTAGATATTTTAGTTGATAATAAATGATGTTTAAACAATTTACCGGTTTTTTACGTTTGGCTTGCGTAAATATCTGTTCTAAATAAAACCGACTAGTTACGTTTTGTGTACGTCAGTGGACTTAATGTACTCATGTGAAAACGTCGCCAAAGCCCCTGGCTAACTATACCGATAACGATATAGCAATTAAATAAAATACCGAAGTTCGAGGAAATTGGGTGACTTTACTCGGATACTGAACTACGGACAGTGATCGACTAATCGCTCACAGATCTGGAGGTCAGCCAATCGTTTCTTTTCTAGACCCCGTAAATTCGATTATAATATTAACCTGACAACCGTTCATATAGCTTTTCGAAAACAATTAAAAAATATTTATATCGATTGTCATTTAATGTGTGTATTATTTTGGCCATCTCCGCCTCGTCCTATAAAAGAAATCCAAGTACAAGAGTAATAATTATTCTTGTAATAGCACAACGATTATTGTCGTATGAAAATTCATCAATCATCGCGCGGCACTATTTTAGGGTAATTGATTAAAAAAATGTTCAACTTTACTGTCAAACATTATAATATAGGGTCATAATGCTATTTGAACCCTCTTTATTGTGTAACATTTAATGCATCGTGAACTCGTAGCTTCATTAAAGTGTACCCCATTTAGCGTATGATGATTTTCAAGCCATGAGCATCGCGAGTCGTATAAAAAGTACTTGCCGTTATAAAAATAGTCTCTTAAAAATTGCAGTGTAAAACTGAACGAGAAACGATGCCTGAAAAAGGGATATCCTTTGATGTTGTCCTCTACTGTCTTAAGCTAAACATACAAAAAGTTATAATAAAAAATAGACTTGTTTAAAAGACCGGTAATTATTTTTGATGCGCCGACCGTCTACTGCGATCACCTTTGGTCCTCCCCTCTTGCATTTGTTATGTTACAGGCGCCGTCGCCGGTTGTTCTTTTATAAATCGTCTGTGGTATCGGACCAGTCAGCCGCGTGGCTTTCGTGCACTCCGACGTTCCGGGTGGACCATTGAATCGTTTTTTACTACGCGACGGCCGCAGTTCTCACACCACTCGTACCTAATAGTAAAAATAAAAATATTATTGTTTTTTTTTTTTAAATTCCACTCACGTAACGCGCAAGTGTAAACAAAACGCCGAGTTTTAGTGCATTTAAGTAAAGTAAAGCTATAAATCTTGGGCAGTTCAACTTAAAGTGTCAATTCATAAGTATATGCGAAGCGTCCGGATTAGTGTCTCTTTTTGAATTTAGCTAGCCCTCTTTTCCTGAGGTACGGCCACCGCTTAGAGGACCGGCGACATCAATTAAAAGGTTAGCAATAAATATCATTATAATAATGTCACTTGAATTTTTTATACCATTTCTCTGTTCGGTTATGAGAGACGTTCTCTATGCATTTAGCACGAATATTACATTCTTCAAAACGTTTAATATATTTCGTCTGATCACTTAACAAAATAATAAAAAAAATTTCCAAAAAGTCCGTTTGTAATGTTTTTTTTTTTTTGCGATTCATCTTCATCCGTATCGCGGTCGTATCTGTCACGCAGCCAGAGTTGTTTGCCATATCAAAATCTACCACACCTCCACCAAACCGGCAACAGTATAAGGTTTGAGCTGTGTATATTAATACACCATTTTGTGGGGGTCCGTTCAGTTGTGTACGTGGGCCGAATTCACTACTTGCGTTTTATTATACAACGATCTTGAGTAATAAAAAAATACGTTAGTAACCTAGTTATTGTTTTATTTTTACTGTTATTTTGCTTATCTCGTTATAATGTGACCAAAAAACGTACAAGACTCTAAGTGACGACGTCACAACCGAACAACCCCATGAACGTCGTTCAGCTGTGTGTGTATAGTGTTGATACTATAGCGTGACGCGGTTTGTCATTATGAACTTGGCAAAATAATATAATCAAATCATAAAGAAACGATTAATATTAAACTTAGCATAAATATGAGTTTTTACTTGGGGTAGTATTTGAAAAATGTAGTAATAAATTCATAGAAATTGTTATGATTGACACAAAATTTATGTCGCTTATTGATATTATTTTCACATTTTATTATTGTAATAGACCTTAATTTGGCGTGAATAATACTGAATCCTAAGTGGCGGCTCTCTTTACATAACAATTTACCGATGAGCCCACCACACTCTGTTAATCTCACTTTTTTACCACCTCCGACTTGTTCGTAAAGCATTAGTAGCTATGATTAAGGATTTGTAATTATTAATGTAAAATACGATCTAGTCTTTATTGTTATATCACAAGATTGGCGACGCGATAGAGTCCTAGAGACTAATTACTATTCTACAAAAATCTTGTTCTTGCCTTATCTTGTATAATGTATGTATATATAAATAACATTTGGTTTAACACATTATATTGGAATTCATTTACAGGACACCATTTTCTTCGTTACTTAAATTTCCTGTTTATAAACACTGTACGTGCATCTCGCTCGGAACTGTTTATTTTTTCCTGGTTCAAAAATCTCCTTTGTTTAGAGCACCTGTTACTCTCTTTCGAATTTTTGTTTGTCTTTTTTTTTCACTTGTTTAGTGTGTATAAGAGATATGATGTGAATATGAATTGTAATTGTTACGTGATTAGATCGTTGTGTTATTATGTGGTTTTTAATTAATAAAATATTTTTGTTGTAATTTTTCAGTCCAACTACAATCGACGGATTCACAAAGACGTATAAAAAACAAAATTAAAAAATGGCACAACTAGTCCTAAACCTCATTGACAGTTACCACGATATAATGGAAAACAAAAGTGGTGAGTGAAAAATTAATTTAAGTATGAAAAGTAATTAATTTCTACCGCACATATTTCCCCTTTGTAAATTGGATGAAAATAATCGCAAAATTATTGTTTTTCATGTAGACAATACCAAATTTTCCATCCCTAACTTACATTTTTTTTTTATGAATTACTGCTATAAAATTTAAATGTATACTCAGATACATTTTATATAAACTTGAGATTTCATGCTTATAGCACACAATTTTGGTAACGGGCTAAATTGCATGACTAAATCTGGGTTGTTTCATATCCGTGTTACCTGCGACTTCTAAGTAAAAATACATTAAAAAAAAATTTTTTTATGTATTGTATAGTGTGTTGTGTAAATAATATGGAATGTTATATAAATAGTTACCAATTACGTTGATCTTAGTAACTATAAACCGGTAAAAGGGAAATGGTCAAAAGCAGTGAGCAGTTAAAAATTATTTTATTCGACAGAGAAAGGCGTAAAGATGTAGTACAATGTAAACAATTTTAATTATGCTACAATGTATTTAAGAACATAACTCTTATACACAAAGAATGTTTAATGTGTACGTATATAATTTTACTTAAACTTTCCATTGAAAAACAAAAAAAAATTGTTGAAAATAACAATAGTCTAAACACGTATCATACACAGTTTTCGTTAAGTAAATCACTTAAAATAAGATGGAGATAATTTGTCGAGTACTTGTAATTTTTATATATAAAAAAAAAGAGGTATACATAAACTTCTTCTCTTTAATATACACAATATTAAAAACAAATCTGATTTTTAAATATAAATATAGGAATTAAAAATATTTTCAAACGACTATGGCAACTGGAGTTTTTTATTTATTCAGACAATATGAATGTATAATCATATATTTTCATAATAAATCATAAATGTAATGGTATTCTAGTTCATATTTTTACAAAATGCCTTCGAAGTTTAGTAAAACAACTCTGTATTATTTTAAATAAAAAATAAAGAACAAAGTTAATCTCTTTTTGCTGTTGTAGAAAAAATAAATTATTTTTTTTTACATTATTATCATATCAGCTACAAGTGAACAATATAAACAAATAATAATTGCTTTAAAAATGTAGAATTCCAAAGAAAAAAATTTGTGTTTTGTAATTGTCATAATGTTTTAGCATTTAATATTTCAATTTCAATGTCCTTAGGTAACTTATCTCGAAAAAGTATATTTTTCGTCATGTCCCCAATAATTATGAATAAACATAATAATTATTGTATATTCTTACTTTGAAAAATGTGGTTAGATGTCAGATCGAAGGCCGAACTAATTTTTAAATAAAAAACTTTCGGCGGGTCATCCGCTCCAATGTTACCTACTCACGTGTCCCTACGCGCATTCGTTGCCATTGAAATACTTTGGAGTATAGAAAGTACCATGACACCTTGTACAATGTTCAGTATGGATATAATATAATATTGTATATCATGGCCGGTAAATACAACCTGCAAGGCTAGCCTTAGGAACAAACGTGTAGCTGTTATCGCGCCGATATTCAGGTTTTTATGGGTAACTAACACCACCTCTAAATTCTGCACCATCTCTTATCACTTACCTTGCTATTCATTGCAATGCGCTATATGAACATAAAATTAAATTGACCAAGAAAAAATTTCTTGATCAATCAAAATTTCTGGTCAAGTTTGACCAGAAAAAATTCCTGAACAACATCAAACTTAATTTCATATTCAAGGAAATCGCTATCAATATTTTTTTATTCCTATATTTTATACAGGTTCGAGGTTAATTATTTAAATTAACTATTTTCTTGATAAATTAAACCAATAATTATTTTGTTTATTAGTAATGTACAACATAAATTATAAACCCCCCGTAGTTTCTTCGATTATTCGCTTTAAGACAAGTAAAAAGCTGGCAAGTTGACGCTGTGGCCAAGATGATCTTAAATTAAAAAATATATATAGTAATGTTCACAAAATATTTTTCTAAATATCTTTACCAAACAATCGATAATTTTTCAAAAATAACTTAAATGAACAGTTAGGTTTTTTCTAAATCGCATTCATGCCCTTCATGCAAAAATTATACAACATTGTTGTTTTATGACGTTTGATTAAATGCAATTTTTTTTTTATCGTAATAGCTAAAGAAAAATATTACAAATAAAAACTATTTAAAAACCGTCAAAATGTCTTGTCTTAAATTTTATTTGACATGTTGTTACATTAAGAGCTCCGATAAAATCATTACGATAGAGCAATATTTGTAATTTTTCTGATAGTTAACTTAACTTAACGGAGTTTATTACATGTGTCTATATATTCACACTTTAACACCATTTTAAAGATATATCTATAATGATTCTTACTGATTAAACTTTCAAAGGGTGTCCATTGTAAAAACGTTAATATCATAGTAATTTAAATAAGGCAAAATTGTTGTTGATAAAGGCCATGTTGTTGCTGGTAACAACGAAAGTTCAAGCTTTTAAAAAACTGTTCCGTGTTTTATTTTTACTTAATCTTAGTAGCGAGCTGACGTTAGTCCCTCAAACGATTCGGTTGAGCAAATATTACATTTATATGTCGCAATTAAATGAACCGTTAATGTATGTTGTATTTAGATTATTAAAAACTGCCATTGTGCTATTAATCAATTAACAGGAAAAAAAAACAACACTTGAAATATTTATACAAGTTTTACCAACTATGAGAATAATTCATTAATATTGTTCCTGTCCTCTTTTATGTTCTTTCTTTGAAGAAACTGTCAGTATTAATTAATATACGACACGGTGACCGTTTGATGCGCTTGTTATAGTCTATTATATAAGATATATTTTTTTTATACTTATGAAATAATATTTTTAAAAAGTAATTTTATATCAAAATAAAAAAAAGATTTTTTTTTAATTTGAGGCTTTTCTATATTAACATTTAATTAATGTTATAACTATTATTATTTTGTTATTTTCATATAAATATAATTTATTTAATAATATGACTAGGTTTTACTTTTATTTAGATGAAAACACCCGAAATAAATGCTGCATTCTGTAGAGTTTTTGTGCGTTGAGTTAATAAAAGTAATTAAGATTAATGAATTCCTCCTCAACGAAAATAATCGAACGAGTTTTCTCGAGAAAATTGGATTACATTAAAGAAAATATCTATTTATGTACAGAACTACTTCACTAATGTTGTGTTTGAATACAATGGTGTTATGATACGTGATTTGAGAGGACTTTTATAATAGACAATCCGACTGTACCACATTCAGAGTTATTGTGTTTTATGATATAATTATGAGACTAGCTTATTTATCTCGCTTTTAAGTGTATGCTCTGTTAAATAAACTCTCTAGGCACGATGCCGACCTTTATGTAAATTAAAACGATTTTGGGTAGGTAAAATAATTATTATACTCTGCATTTGGTATTCGACTAAACTCGTGTAAAAATCGTTACTTCAAAAACTGTCTAGTGGGTCACGGTATGTAATGTATGTGCACTGTGTAAAGCATACTTTGGGTGTATCGCTTTGTATGACTATGGTATGCCATTTTGATTTTTCTATAAGCCATTATTTGTTGCCAAGTCACTGCTGCAATCAATAATTTTTTTTACAAATAATTACTCAATTAGTGTAATTGTGTTATTATTATTTTTATTGATAAAATATCGACACGGAAAGTATTTATTATTGATGTCAAATGAGGTGTGTAGTTTTAAAATTTTCTAGAACAACATTTTTTATATTTTCTTGAAGGTCACATCGTATTACATGGTCTGTAAAAATATTGAACGCCTAACAAAACTATAACTAGTCATTACCGATCGTGAAAAATCGTTTTTTTCTTACAACCCCATTGAGAAAATTTTATTTATTTATTTTTTTGTTGTCCTGAAATGGTTCAAAAGTTGTATTTAGCCAATTTTGAAATTACGCGCATCAAATATTATATGAAAACAGTTGTTAAATTATGTCTTGTATAATTACAGATAAATTATGTTTCAATCAATATTTAACTTATATGGTGTTTCCTTTGATTATTTCAGACGCCAGAGTAAATGGTTGGCCCATGTTATCTAGTCCATTCCCCACGTTATTCATATGTCTATTTTACGCCTACTCGGCCAAGGTGCTTGGTCCAAGACTGATGGAGAACAGAAAACCATTTCAACTGAGAAAACTACTCGTAGTGTACAATGCGATTCAAACTGTGTTCAGCGCTTGGATTTTTTACGAGGTGAACTATACAATTAGAAATATGTATTTCTTGCTCGACTCCATAGAATATTAGTCCCACGTGAAACTCATAAACAATCAACTGCGCCTATACATATTGTAATTAATTCTCTGGGTGGGGGGAAGATGGCAAGTATATGTTGTGTGACGAGAATGCGTTACCTAAAACTAAACGTTTTATTAATATTTAATAAAGGTACTGTTGACGTTGTTGGGAAACGACAAACGTCATCGTTTCCGCGTTCTTGTCTGTACATTTTCCTACGCAAGTTCATCGTCTCCCAAGTGAAAATCTTAACTAAAATTAACCCGACCCAATCGCGCAAGGTATTATATTTTGATGGTTATAGATTTGCCATTCGAAAGGCTTTTATCGTTACCTAACTTGTATTTTATCATCTCATGCTCTACTCCAAAAATTCAAAAGATTACTATCTGATCTGAAATCGACCATGACCTTTGAAACTAATAGTGTAAGTGTACTGAAATTACCGAAGACTTATTGAAACCGAAATCGCTTCGAACAGTTATAATTGAGCAAAAACTAAACGAAAAGTGACTCATATCGGGTACCACAGGCAGCGTACACGAATGACCGTCTGATCGTTGGGAAAGTATCGAGTTCTACATGCCTCCTAGACAAAAATATATTCTTCATTCACATATGTGTGTTATGAAAGGGGGTCAGCTGTAGCGTTTATCGTACAGTAACAGCTTACACGCATTATATTTTTAAACGTTTTATATATATATATATGCACATACGCTAAATAGCAACGACAATTAATATTCAACGACACCCGAGAAAAATTATCGGTATGAATATTTGACTGACTTAAATTGTCGTAGTGTTTAAACAATTCGAAATTACCTAGACGTTCAATCCAAAGTAATATTTTTTGGATTTACACTTCCCATTTATAGTGTTGAAATATTAACCAACACAACATATGTTATTAGACTGTAATCTCAGATTATTTTATATTTCAATGAAATTAATTTTTTCATAATTAGCAAAACGGATTTTACCAGATTATAAACAATTTATGACCGACAATATTTATTTTATATATAAAAAAAAACTACTCTTTAAATGAGGTAAACCTTGACAACCTTTCGTTAATTTTTTCAAGTTATTATACATCAGGAAATGTATTCGATTTAAAACTTGTTTTCTTGAAAAATGTATATTTTGCGATTATAATAATCATTGCCATAAGACACAAACATTTATAAATTTACTAGTTTCACTGAATTTTATAAGGAGGTATGTACTTATTCCAGTTTATTCAGTCTTATGTTTTCCGGTTTTTAACACCAACAGTACACGTGTACGGTAATTAATAATAATTACATTAAAAATACATATACATGTTCAATGGCTTTAGAAACGTATATGGTATACTCATCTTATTGTTATTGTAAAAAACCTTACACTTTTTTTTCGATTTATCTCATTAAATATTTCATTTATAATGGACAAAATGAAATGAAATTATCTTCTTGAAATTAGATCGTTTAACCCTTTAGCTCTTAATAATTTAGTCCGTGTCATTGATTTTATGTTTATGATAAAAAAATTCTCATTGCTCGTTTAAAACGATTGATTTTATTTATTTTTTACAATTCTATGTAGTATAAATTAACGGCATTTCAATAAATTTACACAATTATTATTACCTAAAATTGTTCACTTTTTTTTTTTTGACTATATTTTTACAGTTTCAGTGATACGCTTATGCATTTTATGCATTTTATGTTTTTTTTTTTTTAATAAAATTGCCGGCCTGCTAAATTAAACCATAGCGACCACGTATTTATTAGCCGGCACGTCGTTATGCACTTCTATGAGATGTTAACATGTCTATTTTCACACGCCAAAAAACGCACAAACGCGAGCAAACTTATTATTGTTTGATCAATAGTAATATCAGAATCCAAAACTTTTGTCTATAATTTCCTGTTTTTCGATCTCATATAAGAATATCATTTGAATATCAGCATACAGTCTAACTGTACTTATAAAATTTGAATAAATGCTACGGTATTTCTTATTATTCTTCTTGTAATGATCGCTTGACCTGAAACAGGGTAATGTACTTTAAACCGGTACAATTGATTACACTGCATGTTGTCGCATAAAAATTACCTTATAATTTCTTATTTTCCATTGAATATCATAGTATTGAGTAAAAAATAATGATGATTTGATTTTTTTAAAACGCGACCTTTGTGATATTTTTACGATTCGTAACTAATTGAGGCGATTATTGTGGAATTGCATAACTTTTACCTTGTACCAAAGATTTGCCATAATTTAGAATAGCAATAATAACTATTTTATAGTAACGTTACTGTATAATAAAGTAATATTATTAGATATGACCTTATAGTGGTTTTAAGGGGCGTGGTATAGCGCAGTGGATCATTCGGCAGCCGCCTTAGCGCTGATGTTTAGCTGCGCCAATTGTTGTTAGTTTCCGGATGGGTGACCATACAAGAACTTTAACAGTAACATACACCTTGCTCCTTGCTGGCTCTCCCTTAGCAATAACGAGATTGCGTCAGCAGATGTAAAAAATCCAGTAAAATTGTAAGGTAGAGCCGACCCCATATAAGTGGGTATAGAGGCTAAGGAAATGATGATGACCTAATAGGTATTTTAAAAGACATACTGGTATTCCACATTTCGCTTATTAAACCCCTTCTTTAGTATGCGTTTACAATTAAACCTAATATAATGTAGAAATTACTGATTTTAAAATCGATCGGTGTGTTCTGATTTGACCTCAGTATCATCATAATTATAAAAGTAGAAGTTGATCGTTTTTATAATTTATTTATATGTAAATAGCTGTGGGTCGTTACCTTAAACTTGTTCACAATTTCAATACGAATTATACTTAACTAATTAGTTTTATGTACAACGTCGCACTTTAATGTATCATGCACTAAATCACTTGCTTATCAGACCCAAATAATTGCCACGGTTATTATTACTATTGATTACACAGTAATATATGTACTGTGCGACTTGTACACGAAGCATAATTCAATCTAATTATTGGTAGATGTCCCCCATGATGTTTTATACATAAATGCATACACAATCAATCGCACACGCGTGACCCAAATTCATATTGTCTAGCGAGTGCATATGACGTACGTTTTAAGTAAGTAATGCAAACGTTATAAATGTATTTAATTGGGACTGTTATGTATTTTATACCTAGTGGAGAATACCTGTGTACTATTATAATCCGACCGAACGTTACAAACGCAACGTTATATTTTCATGGGACTCTAAATAATAGATTAGAATAGTCAATAAGAGGATTAACAAATGTAAAGGGTTTCTTTTTTGGCGCCCATGAAAATTTTCATTGCCATTATTATTTACTAGAATTAGAGGATGCGATTTGATTACATTATGTTATAAATTAATTATGTATTTAATTGATTATATTAATGAAATAGCCAGTTAAAGAAATATGTACCTTGTATATATGTTTATTTGTAGTTAAAAAGGTTATTTATGCGACGTATTTTCATTATTTATTCAGCAATGATTTTTAAAACTCAATTCTATAACCGATTATGACACAACCTTATCAGAAAAACTGTGAACGTTGGAAACATAATCTAAGATTCCTCAGAAAATAATCTAGAGAATTCTATACACAAAATATAGATTATATTACCAATGTCCATAATTTTCTATTAAAGTTATTTGAAAAGTAAAAAAAAAGTGTTCACTTTAAGATCGACTTTTTTAAAACAAGCCGCGGATATTGTTATTGGTACTAGTTTTAAATTTAATGTTAGCAATTCTTATCATACAAATTTGAAACGATCAAACATTTTAAAGTATTCGTAACGAATTACTTATAAAGTTTTTTAGTTTTAAGGGCTTTTAGAAATCAAAAAATAAGTCATATTAATGATTATATAAATCATAGTACATTAAATTCATGTATAGTTTTCGGTAAATTGTCGTTTTAATTGAAATTGGTTTGAAATGATTTGCCAATAGGAAATCATTGTACAATTAAGAAGTGCAATAGGTAAAAATCTTACAATAATCTTGATCTTATGTTTATTGCGCGTATAAAGTCTTCTATTAGTGTATCGGTGTAATGACTGTATTACCAATTATACATATTAATGAGACCAAATCATAATTCTATCTGATACACTCAGCATGAACAATAACCGGTTTAAGAAATAATTTTTATGAAGCCTTGTCTAGAAACTTCCTATTTGATAGGTTGATAAAAAAAAATAGTACTACCGAAGTTCAAACTATAGTACAATGACTGGGTAGAAGCGCTCATCGCCGAATTCAGTTTGTCGACCCATTGTGTAATATTAGGATTTTCAATCGAAATAGTTCTATCATTTTTTAATATTGACTGAGACAGGCACACAACAACGTAACGCTCAGGTTTCTTTACTTCTTCGATTGGTCTTGCCTTGAGTTAGCCTTGACTCGTTTTCCCCGAATTTTATTTAGCGTGGAAAAAAGTGTAACTTAATACCCGTTTTTTGTTATTGTTAATATTATTGTCTTGTATTATGATGGTTGAATGGTGTTCGTCTATGCAAATGCTTAAGTAGGCCGCACTACTCTTGAGTGAAATGTTACTTAAAATAAAAATTTAACTATAATTATAGTGCATAGCCCCGTTGTCTGATATATACTATATCTTGGATTTTTTTTTATCGTGTTTACAGTACATGATGAGCGGATGGGGAGGATCGTACAGTCTTAAATGTCAACCAGTCGATTACTCCAATAGTCCGATGGCCTTGCGGGTAAGTTACATTTTTTTTTTTTTTTTTGGGTACTCTTATTGGTTCTTAACCGTCTTAATTAGCGTGTGTTGATTGTGTTTTTCTTATCTTTCCGTTGCAGATGGCTCGAACATGTTGGTGGTACTACATTTCCAAGTTCACAGAGTTCTTAGACACGGTAAGTGCCCACTGTCCCGCCAAATCAACTAAATAAACCGTCGCTACATTTATTATACTCATTACAAACTACTGTTTTCACGTGATGTTTTTAAAACAGACTAGGTCAACGCGTATTTTATTACAACACTGTAATCTAATAATGTAGTATTTGACCTAAACTGTGTGGGTCAGGAAGGATGAGGATAGGAGTCTAGTTAGTGTAAAAATCGATCAGCTAATGTCATCGCGACGAACGTTTCGTGTAACGTTCTTATCTATACGATTTTTATTCCGTACTAATTTAGTTTGTGTTTTTATAATCCCACACACTGTAAAAATGTACAGCTACTGCTAACCAACCGAATAAAAACAACTTATGTTTTGCAGTTGTTTTTCATTTTGAGAAAAAAGAACCAACAAGTGTCAACTTTACACGTCATTCACCATGGATGTATGCCCATGAGCGTTTGGATGGGAATGAAATTCGCACCAGGTAAGCGATTCCAAATGCAATACTTATCAAGCAATGACTAATTGTTAAACAACCGACATGGCTGATATTTGTTATATTCTATGGTGCACGCCGTATTGGCATATTAATTTACTTTCCTTTACTTACACCTGTTGTTTGTATCGCAGGCGGCCATAGCACTTTCTTTGCATTGCTCAACACATTCGTACACATCGTCATGTACTTTTACTACATGGTATCAGCTATGGGACCACAGTATCAAAAATACATTTGGTGGAAAAAATACCTTACCTCTTTCCAAATGGTAATCATAAAAAACTATTGGCTTCTGCCATTCTCATTGATAACACATTTATTTTGTTTTTGTAGTTACAATTCGTATGCATTTTCATTCATCAGTTCCAATTGTTATTCGTTGAATGCAACTACCCCAAGAGTTTCATGATATGGATCGGCCTGCACGGTGTTATGTTCTTGTTCCTTTTCTCAGACTTTTACAAATCCAAGTATACTAAAGGTCAACTAAAATCTTCCAACGACGGAGCTTGTATGGTAAGTAAAAAAACAAGATGCTAAATCGTATTGTTAAAAAATCTATGGCGATGATTAACTATTTGTTCGGCTGTTCAACTTACTTGGAAATGTGTTCGGATACATAATAGTTGAATTTTTTTGTTATTTGGTGCAACGTCAATAACGATTTAAAAAATATTTAATTTTCCTGTTACCGAAGCCATAATTTTTTTTTTTAATACCTCAAATTAAAATAACCTTATGAGGAAAATCACATAACATTTATTTATATTCTACATACGACCGTGTTAGCTGAAATATGACACGTGAGTGCATTTCGTGAGTAATTGTGGACGTCATGACTACATCTAAGGTCGTTAATGTTTTATTATTAATAAACCGCAAGCTGCGCTTAATCAAAAACATGTCGATATCATGATTCACGTTTTAGGCGATTTGTGTTTCTACGGCGCTGGGTAAATGATAATTTAGTCTATAAAGTTTAATCAAAGCGTCGTGATAGTTGTAAAAATAAATATATGGATAAAAAAAACGTTTCAATGTGAAAATAAAAGCCGAAGGTAAAATTAATGAAACCGAACGTTACCCCGTCATGTAGCCTGTGTGTTATTAAGGGGTCGACAGAGATGGCGCCGGCCTTGGTTCGCACAAGTTCTACAGTACGTATGAGATTTGGGTATTATGGATCAATCACAGCTGTAAGCCTATGTCAATATCATTTGGACATGGGGGTTGAAGCTAAACCGAGTCACGATTCATTTTTTTGTGTTTTATTATTTCTGTAACTTTTCGTCGACACAAACAATTATTTGCACGAGATTTTCTATACGATTTCAGACGTTTTACCATTACACCCAAGGTCGTATAGATTTCCAACACAATTAGGTTGAGTATACTTTCTATTACGTTCTGGGTTTTATACATTATAATCGTCACTGAAGTCATCGCTTTTAATATTCACAACGATAATTATCTAATGTACGAACACTTACACTGTTGTTGTGCTAAAGATATTATTTTTTAAGCATTCTAAGTAAATAGTAGTTTTCAATTAGCTCGAATTATGATTGTTATATATAGCTCAAATATTTCAATGTCAATTATAAATGAATTGCTAATTGCTCGTTATATGTAAATCTGCGAGAACAGAATATTTTATTAATGTTGTTATAAGTATACTAATGAGATCATCACCCATAACCACATTCTACATCGGTCGAATATGGTGTTTAGCTTTTATAGAGTTGTTGGAATTCTCTGTTGACTAATACAATTTTTTATTTTCTATTCTTTTAGCCAATAGAAAGCTCAAACAATTACAGCAAATGTGCGTCCAAAGAACACAACAACGTCGTATACTATTCAAACGGTATCAATAACGGCTTCAAGTCTACTGAAGACGCCAAAACCAAGTAGTGTTCCATTTATCAAGCTGCACAAACGTTCCTAAATGATGGAAAAAAGACAATGCCCGGCGATCAATCAACAATGCACCCTCTTATACAATCTTAAAACCAAATTCAAATCATACTAAATATGCGCTTGTACTTAAAACGTCCGTGAAGACAATTATTACCAAAAATGTATAGTATAAATACTTACGCGTAGGTCTCTACAATACAATGAAAATTATATTTTAGCATCGAATATTAAAAAACTTCAATTTTCATTTTTCGATCTGCCAAAATACATTTTTTAGGAAATATTTTTTATTTACGTTTAGTTTTATCTTAGGTAAGAAGTATAAAATGTTTTAGATATTTTTGTTATAGTCCGCAATTTTATATATTTACAATAAGTATGTAGAACTCATGTGGTAATCTATGCAATGCTTAATGAAATTAAATGTTTGTATTTTATTATTGGACTTTAGGTGTACAGTGAGAGGGGTGGGTTCATTAAATATCATTATGCGTTGATACTCGGCTACTTTATGTTAAAGTATGTATGGTTTTTCTTAAGTTGGCAATTTTGTTACCGTCAATTCAGTCATATGTATATTTTGCTGTTATAACTGTCCAGCATCTATCTTATAGGATTTATTCTTTTATTTTATTTATAAATTTTGTTGTTATTTTCACTCTATAAATTCATAAAACTCAATGCGGATGTTACTTAAATTTTCAAATGTTTAACTTAATTTTTACAGTGAAACAATATAAATTTATATATTATCACTGTATTCATTCGAGTAGCTTTACTAAGCATTTTGTTACCCTACACGTAGAATGTATGTTTGTTTTATTTTCTGAAATAGCAAGTGCAAAACAGATATTTTAGGACTCAGTGCTGCCTTAGTGTGAATGACATAGATTTTAAGAATGTGAGGCCATTGTACTTTTCTGTAAAAGTGTGTTTTTTTATGTATAATACATTATATATAATTTTTTTTTTTTGTATAATTATTTAGTCATTCTTTTTTTTTAATTATTAATTATGTTTTGTATGGTTTGTAAAAATACAAACCGCAAAAAAATGATTTATGATATTTTAATATCTTTTTAAATTTTTATATATAAGTGTATTTATTTAAATTGAAAGTATAAAAAAAATGTAAATCAAAAAATATTGTTATTTTGCAAAACATAGACTTTTGACAAAAAATGCTTTTCTATATAATTTTATTATACATCCTCTACTTAATCCTACATCGATTTTTTTATACATTTTTTAAAGAAGTTTTTTGTTTTGTATCAGTTTACCATGTATTATCAATTTAATATATTGTTTGAAAATTGTTACTATAACAATAATAAAATGTGATGTCATGATACTATTTCTAATGATAATTTAATCACAATACTTGAATAGAACACTTAAGTTTTTATGAGTTATTATTACACACTGGTTATGACCAAATGGGATGTCCGGCATCGAAAAAATGTGAACACTTAAATACTAATAGACTATTATTAATTAACGAGATGATTTATGGTTATAGTTTAACTTATTTCTACGGCTAATGCTTTAAGTGAACTTGAAAGACTGTTAATCGCGGTTAATTAATAGTATTGCTTTGATACATAGAATACTGTAAAAAAAAATCTATTAACAAGAAACGAGGCCTTAGAAAGTAATAAGATACATCTAGTAACACATTAACACCTATTCCGGATACCGTTACATTATAATAATAAGTTCAAACTTTTATTTTTTTTCTACAGCTTGTTAAATTTATGTATAATTCATTTTAATAATATTATGTAAATCATCGTGACACAGATACGAGTCACCTATTGATCAATAATGTTGCAAAGGTTTTGCGTAGTCCCGTAAGAAATAATTACTATAAACATCATTATAATAAATTATTATCAATTGTGTAATGTATTCCAGTATTTAAGGAAATACATATCTTCCATGTGTGTATACAAAGCCACAATAAATGTATATTTGGTTTTTTCGGTAAACGATAGACGTCACATAGTTAACAAATGGCTTATTGGCAAAACCCACGACTGTAGAAAGTTACATATTTTGTATTCATTAACATAAACGGAAAAAAAACGATTCATTATTTTTTTGTCCACTAAAATATATAAACAAAATACATTATTTTCGTCTACAGATGATAGGTCATTTTTATATGTTACTTAAGACTAAATCATTTTTATGAAAATACCAAAAATGAATAATTTAAAGTTATCATTTTGGGAAGTTGAATAACTTAAGATAAATAAAAGAATAAGATAATTTTTTTTTGTATTGGTAGATATAATATAATATAAATATGATATCAGAAGTTATTACAAACAAATATTCGAGAAACAGTTTGATAATATTATTTAAAAAACTAAACATCCATTAATTATAAATCGTAGGCGTTTATTTAAAAAATATTTTCAGTGGGAAGAATGAGGAAAATTTTATTATTGCCCCTTATTTTTTTCTTTTGCTCATAATAAAATATGTAAAATAATAAAGTTTCAGATGACCTTACACCTCTCATAATTAAGTCGCTGATATATATCGTAGATATATTTGCATAATGCTCAAAACTTGGATAATAAGGAAAATATCATTTTTGTGTAGATGAGAAAAATAATTTAAGAATTATGATCTTCGAAAATAATAACAAACCATCTATAAAAATGAGGAAAAATTACAAGATTTATAAAGTACAATAATAATAAGCTTTTTAAGCAAATATCTTTATCCTATGGTAGCATAATTATTTTATTCGTGTGTTTATTTATTTGTTAATTCAATTTTATATGCCATTAGAAATTCATAAATTAATTTAAACAATTATAAATCATGATTAATAAAATTTAAACTTCTAAATTCAAAACATAAACTTTTAAATATTAGCATAATTCCAAAATGAATATAATGTATGTTGATATTTTAAATATAATTTATTATAAGATAATAAAATATATAAATACTAATTAGAAAAACAGTAGCTATTTTATAATTTATATGAAAAATAATTTTTATTTGAAATTTATAACATTTAGTGGAGATGCTTGCAATTACTTACTAATTAGATGTACCTACAGAAAACAATTGTTAGGGTATTGTAACGCGCAAAAACGCAAATAGAGGAATGTTTTGGTTACTTAGCACCCTTTGGAAAGTCATTAGCAAACCCAATCACATTTTGCTATTCTTTTGAAATTTTGTAAAGAGAGATTGAGTAATTCCTTTTAAATTGTATGCGTGGTGATTCATTTATTATTATTAATCAAAAAATAAAAATAATATTAATAATTTTTTTATTTGTTTTTGTTAGTTCAATATTTTTCTCAAGGGTATTAACTTAAATTTCTCAATACCCCTAATCAACTGGCCTATTTATTGGATAATGGTCTTATTAATAAAAGACTGGTCGAAAACAACTTTTGTACCAGTATTTCGGAAGTTATTGACATATTTATAACTTGATGAGAAGAAGAGTACGGGCGGGAAATGTTAAGTTATTAAAATATCAGAACCCACTTTTCACTTCTAATCATTATTTTAAATTGTTAATAACTTTTGTTTTTATTAAGTCCACACACATAGTTTTTGGTAAGAATGATTTTGGTTCGCGCGTGTCGATTTTGTTTAAATTCTATGATAGTCGATATAGTTTTCACTAATAACATGGCATTCAAATATTTTATTTAATAATTATTAAGTTTTCTTTCGCTTGCTTAACTTACTAAACAATAATTAGTAGATTATTATGAAGTATAATTTTGAACACACCTAAGTATTTTGTAGAATAAATTACATTTTTTTAAAATATTATTTAATTTACAAGTGAGACTATTTTTCTGGTAAACTGTTTCTGGAGTAATACTACATTTGCAAAACACACATTGTGACCGGCGTAGCTGTGTACTCCTATCGGTATCAGTGGCCTTCCAGTAGGACATCATCCCGAAGGATCAACATGCGCATGAGGCTCGCAGGGCACCGTATCTGGAGCAGAGTTCCAGCTAGGCGAGGTCGAGTAAAATGAATAAATTGTTATGACTGCTATAAATAAATGTTTAAAAATAATAATTAATGTAGTATGGAAAAATTAAAAGTAATTCTGTAGATATTTTTTCAATAGTATTAAAAAGCATTTTTCACAAGAACAGATGTTTAAACCATGTATTCAAAACATAATTTAAATAACGTAATTATAATTCCACATAAGACATATATATTTTCGTTAAAAAAATATTAACAAACTTTTTTACAAATATATCAACGAACAATTTACATGAATTAGGATAAAATACTTTATTCCTTGTATCAGAGGCGTTATTCCATGATTTTAGAGTATTTTGTTAATTAAAATATTTTAGACAAACTTATTGTTTACATAAATTAAATAAAAAAAAAATTTCTCAGTAAATATCAAAAAGTTTTGAACTTTTAATGAAACATAAAAACTTCGAGTTTAATTTTTTTTTTTTAATCAAAGAAATCTAACTGGTACGTTAAATGTTACAGCTCAAAATAAATTTTATTTTAAATAGCAAGAATAACCAACTGCTAAAATAAAATATTACCTTACAAAAATATTGAATATGCCATTAATTTATCTTGTAGTTTAACTCAAATAAACATATTATTTGAAAAGCTGTAAATAAACCTAAAAATATATCTTGAATTTTATTAAACTATGTAAAAAGATGTGACCATTTTTAAATTTAACACTACAAGGTGATTCTTTTAATGCTGGCTACTCGATTTTTTTTTAAATAATAACTGTTTTGTGAATTTTTTTAACTTTTGTTAGATACATATGCATATAACTAAAAAAACCAAAATAAACATTTATTTATTTGCTAATTTACGAGTTCTCCCAAAATTACATGTTAAATCATCCAATCAATATTTTTATGTCTCAGTCTCAGTCCAATAATATAGTGTTTATTATCTATTTAAATAACTATTTTCTCTTTTTCTTATACTAAATTGTTTTATTGTAATTATTTTATGTACTTAATTGTAAATATTTTGGATATCTTTATGCTACTTTTATGGATATTTTTTCCTCTTTTTTTAATTTTATTGCTCTCATATACTATGAACCATTTACTAATTGATCTTTGTTGTGTTTTGTTGTATTTACTAACCTAATTACTCAATATCATTATTGTTTATTATGTTGTATGTTAAAATTTGACAATTGTCCGTATAAATAAATAAATAAAATTATTTAATTAAGAAAATGACTGGTCGATAATAATTTTTGGACTAGTATTTCAGGCATTTAACAAATTAACAAATTTAAGTATTGACTGTTACAATTATCACTAGACATTTCCATGACTCATTCTCCCTCCCACTTAGGTATAACCGTGATAATAACTTCTGAAGTACTATTCCAAAAGTTGTTATCGACCAGTTGTTTTCTTAATTACATAATATTCTATTTTGTAGGCTAGATAAATATGTATGTTGCCATTTAAAAAAATAAAGTTGACACTTTTATAACACATAAGGGAAGAACAAAAAAAAATATTTTATAACAGATAAATTGAGATAAGTATGTAACTAACAAAAACAAAAAAAAATCACAAAAAAGTTATTATTTTACGAAAAATTGAGCAGCTAGTGTTAAAAGAATCATCCTGTATGGCTAAAAATAAAAACTTAACAGAATTTAAAATGTAATTATGTCATGTATCATTAATTTAAGAAGGGAAAAAACTGGGTATATTTGTTTAAATCAAATTAATAAGAGTATTTATAAATAAATTTAAAATTTTTATAATATTTTTAAAATAAAGTTATATACAATTGTTTTGATAATTATATACAACATTTATAAAAGAAATAATGTGTCTTGTTTCTTAAACGGTTAAGATGTTTTTAAAACAAAATACAGTTATTACATTAGCTTTTATCTTTAATTTAGTTAAGCCTATTGTTCTACCTAGTGTTATGGAAACTGGCTACGAAGATACTTATATCCTAAAAAAAGAACTGAGCTACATTAAAAAAGTAAAACTACTAAAATGTTCTTATCTGTTCAATGGATTAAATTACATGCGACTAGTAGAAATACAATTAGAAAATGATCGATCTCAATTTTATAATGCCATTGATAATATTTCTAAATATTACCACCCAGTGAAAAAGCAAATAAGTTTGATGTACGGAATAAATGGTATTCAAATTCGTACTTTGTGGCTACTCTATTATTACACAATAACGGTGAGTGAATTCAAAAATAGATTTGAAGAGTTTAATAAAGAAAGAAAAAGTGAATCAATCTTGGGTTTGAAAAATACTCACAATTATGTATGGAAAAAACTTAAAAAGGAAATAAATGATTCGAAATGTCCTAAGTTAGGGCAGTATTACAAGAATAGTTCATGGTTTGAACATAGGAAAAAAGAGTCGACAAGAAAAATAATATTGCATATTCAAAATAATCATCAAAAAATAGAAAGATTACTTAAGCAAAACGAAAGAAGTCGGCAATTCGTAACGAGAAACGCAGAAATATTTTCAAAAAAGTCTTTACTCGTGGAAAACCTTGGACGTGTTCCCGAAAATGTTGAACATTTAATGTACACTTTTAATTTACAAATCAAGTGGAGAAATGTTAAATATACTATTAATCGATTGTACTATGATTCTTTTAAAGTTGATTTATGGCACATAAATCAACTTAATACAGCCAAACTATACTATACAAAAATAATCAATTTTTTAAAAGTTATAATGTTAAAGCTCACATTAAAACACTTTGTATACATAAAATATCAAAATTATTCTGATGTCTATAAACTTTCTAACAAATGGATACTCATTTTAGACAATTTCACATCACGTTTGTGCTTGGAAGATGATTATTCATTGAATACTATAAAAAAATACATCAATGATTTTATTAAATGCGTTTCAAGTGCTGGCCATGAATATGAAGATCCACGTAAGCTTTTATTTCATACTGAACAGTATAAAACATTGTTTGGTCAAGTACTGTGGGATTTGACAAATCGGTGCAATGAAATAGAATGTGACTCGATTGATGAAATCAAATTTAGTAAAGAAGAATTAAAAATACCATACTATTACTCCGAACGTGATTTTAACTATTACGAAGATGAGAAGTCTTATACTTTAATAATGGCAAATAGATTTATTAGATACCTTAACTTTATTTTTAATGAAAGTGATTTATGTGTCATTAAGTCGTTTGTAAATTATATCAAAGAATTAGACCGTTTATGATTATCAAATATTATCATATAAAAAGATGCGTTTTCAAAAAATAGCGAAGATTGTATCAATTTTTTAGTATCAGCATATAACATTTTTGATTAGTTTTTTAACCTTTTTAATACAAACTACAAATTTTACTCTTGAAGACGGCAATTTTCACTTAAAAACTGTCTATCAAATTAATTTATAATGACACACCTAAATATTATAAATTATTTTTGCTTAACATTTTTTTTTTAATTTATGGTCGAATTAAAACAAAACTTGGTAATTTAAATGATATAATAAAAAAAAGTTAAACTATTTTTATTCTGTTTTTACCTTATTTTTTATGACCGCATTGTTGTACTTTGGAGATTAATACTATTAAAACTCTCTGTATATTAAAGAATACAATTTTTGAACTGTTAACAGATCCGTGTAATAAAAATTATGGTGTATTATACTTTAGGAACACCTGTATAGAGTAATTATTTAACTATAACTTACACAATATCTTTAGAAATATAAAATGTAATTCAATTTTTTCTTTTCAGAAGATAATAGTATCCAACTTTCTATAATTTTCAGGAAACAATTTTTTTCTCATCCTTTTAAAATAGTATCAATTTAAATTTTTTAAATAGAAACATGAATAAATCCTTAAGCACTTCAAGCAACAAGACAATCCATGAAAGCTTTAACACATTCAGAAACATGTATGTTTAATCAACTTACAAATTAGAAAATAATTTATCCAAGACAATAACTTAATTGTAACAATTGGATTAGTATTTTTAAATGTAATAGCACATAAAAGGGAATAATGAGAGATAGCACTAAATTGTTTTCTAGATATTATAGATTGTTGAATATTGGTAACTTCTGAAAAGAAAAAATTATACTATATTTTACATTTCTAAAGATATTGTGTGAGTCATGGTTAAACAACAACTCTGTATTTTAAAAATAGGGGATTACACTTTTGGTACATTCTACATATTAAAATATGTTTTAACTTGTGTTATACCTATATATAAAAATTAAGAGGTTTTGTACTTTAGGTACACTTTTTGTATTAAAAACGCGAGACGTGTACTCAGTATATGTAATATTTTGACAAATCTAATTATTTTTAATGTAATGAATGTTTTGTATTTCTTTTTTTTTTAATATTTTTTAAAGTATTGGATTACGTCAAATGCGTATTATTTATTATTTGTTTTTAATAAGAAAATTATAATAGATTATTTTCAACATTTCAAAACAGCAGTATTTTTCAGTACTTTTATAATGAAAAATTTTGATGGGTCGATATCAACTTTAGGATAAAAACTTATTTAGTTATTTAGTTACTTAGTATTTTAATACTTAGATTGAGTATGTAGAAAAGTCGGAGTAAATATTATAAATATAAAAAGGCGTCATTTATGGTACGCAGGGTAAACTTATGCAAATCCCAAATGTAGTGCTTAATTTTTAATCCAGACATGCCATTACATATTAAGAATTAATGACTCCTGTGATATCTGTTCACATAAAAAAAAAAATGAAATGATTCTCCCGTTTCTAAGTATAATGCACAAACAAAAAAAAAAAATGTTTATTTTTAAAAACTTGAATTGGTGCAATCATTTTTCAATGTTAGCGTTAAAAATTTTTATATTTCGTCAAATTTATTTAAATCTATGTTCAAAAAAGGCTTTAGTAATTAGGGTAGCCATCATTTAATAATATTTAAAGTATTGATATCTGTACCGTCAATTTTATTCATCATTATAAATATTTATTTAAATAAAATTTGATTTCGTTAGTTTATCCTTCCCTGTGATGAATCGGGATTCAAAATTCGTTTCAAAGATTTAAATATTTGAACGTTTTAAAAACTAAAAGTATAAAAATGTATAACTATAATTTAAATTATAGATATTTTAATAATTGTAATATTTACAGCACGACTACAAGACTATAAGCACTTTTGTATGAAAATATATTTAATATTTTGTATATAATTCTTACTAACTAATAAAATAAAAAATGATCAATTTTTGAAAATGACTGGTCAATAACAAACTTATGAAATAATAAAAATAACATAACACCATACATCTTTACTCTGTAATCTTCTTTTTCCACCCTTAATCCCAACTTCTTGGGGTCGGTCACCCTTATCCTAAACTTCCACTTGGTATGATCTCCCATTAAATCTACATACACATCAGCAATCCTAATATCGCATTCAATAACATCTCTCCATATCTTTTTTGGTCTTCCTCTACCTCTTCTTTCTTCAACATTCATTTCTATAACTGTTCTTACAACTTCCGATTCCTTTCTCTCATCTTACCTTCTCTGGTCACTCCACTCATCCATTAAAGCATTCTCATCTCTACTACATTCATTCTCTGCTCTATTCTCTTGCCAACCGCCCAGCACTCTGAACCCATACATAATAGATTGTCTCACTACAGTTTTATAGAACTTACTTTTCAGCCTCATTGGAATTCTCTTATCGCATAACACACCAACGCTTTTATCCACTTAACTCATCTGTACTCAATCCTGTGTCTTACACTCTCGTCANGCGCTTCTATCCACTTAACTCATCCGTACTCAATCCTGTGTCTTACACCCTCGTCAATACTGCCGTTCTTTTGCACAACTGATCCTAAATACATATAACTTTCCACCTTTCCTATCACGTCCTCGCTTGAACCGCTTATTGAATGAGTTATTTAAATTCCACCACAATGAACCACAGGTACAACACTTCAAAGAACCTATCAAGAAATACATTTAATAATAATTAGTTTGAACTGAATGTTTTTAANGAACCGCTTATTGAATGAGTTATTTAAATTCCACTACAATGAACCACAGGTACAACACTTCAAAGAACCTATCAAGAAATACATTTAATAATAATTAGTTTGAACTGAATGTTTTTAAAAATAGTATATTGTTTACATGTAAGATATATTTACATACTAGAGTTGCAAAATTAACATTAATTTTTTTGTAATTTAATATACTTCAACAAAGTTGACTTCTTTAAAAGGATAAAAATAAAAATAAAACTCTGTTAAAATGTTTTTATTAGAAAAATTGTTTATTTTAAATGGCATCTAATTAAAAATTTTAAATGTTATAAATTAAAGTAACTTCATATACTAATAAAAGTTATATTACAAAATTGATTTAAAAAATCACACGGTTACACATTACACACAAACAATGATAGTTCAAACAGATGAATGATTGTATTATAAATTAACATTTTATACTTTTATTAAAACGTATAGCAATACTTAGTATAAAAAATATATGAATACTCACATACTTAAAAAATAAATGTATTTAAATAAAAATAAAATAACATAATATGCATTATCCATTCACAGAAAACATCATTCCGTTGTCTGTTCGGTAACGATCACAGCAGTTGTTTGGGTGAGCTCGAAAAATAATATATTATTTTTTCATAATAAAAAACTTAAAATAATGATTAAAAAATAAAACGTATCGTACAGAGATCGCGACTATGTTGAGGGTACTAGGTAGGGAGGGGTTTGGCGATGTCAAGCAGGTATAAATACTGCGAATAAGACGACCGCAACAGTGATGTCGATGATTGATGGAATTTTCCATAACCATTCGATAACAATCGATTACAGTCTTGCAGTTAACATTTTGGAGGCTGACATTGCAAACAGTTTTCCATTTGAACATCGAACTCCTCTATTTGTAGCGTACAATCGAAAAAGTTATACTTTTTATACATTCTCCGAGATGCTTCTTTCAAAACCATTGTTGTATTCACTCCAGGTTCTAAAGTAAAACGTTCATTTTAGAGTGATCAAGAAGATCAAATTTTAATCTAATCAAATTTGAATACTTACTGACTGCCAGATGGGCGGCTAAAGCTATTTTGTCTGGACTTAGAGCCCACACTCGAAGATTATGTACTCTAACTACGCCGTCAATACTCATGAACGTCTCCAACACATCAACAAAATTGACCCCTTTAGGCATTCCTTCCATCAAAACAACCATTGTGTCTCTTAGAATATTGAATGTAGTGATCAATACCAAAATGGAGAACAAAAATGTGCAAATGGGATCAACTATCTTCCAATCAGGCTATAAAGTAATTTTAGATTAGCACTATTTAAAATAGCAAATTTTATTTCAATTAAACAAAAATAATTACCTATCATCGTCATAAATAATTAAATAAAAGCTAAAGCACGAGAAATTGGTTCGTAAAATAAATATTAGAATCGACATAATACTAAATTGACTTTCTGATGATTATTTTAAAGAATTTTTTTTTCAAACTTGGTAGATATTTTTAATGAATACAAACCCTAAAGTAAACAATAGCTGCTGCCACCAAAACACCCAAGCTTTGAATTATGTCACCGAGAACGTGAATGTAAGCTGCTCTTACATTTATATTAGATCGGTTTGTGCCTTGTTCCTCATGGCTATGCGATCCATGACCATGAGAGTGCGAATGTTGATGAAGGGTTAAACCCATTCTGTGGTAGGAAAAAAATAACATAAGATACATAATATGTTACTTTAATTTTAATTTTAACTTAGATCTTAAATTTAATTTTTCAAAGTAGCGCTTCTTTAGTTTTTATGAACAAATAATAAGAACAAAATAGGTAAAAAGAGTATTGACATATGTTTTGATTAATACATTTATCAGCAAAATGAGATAATTAATAACTTAGATACTAGATTCATTTAAGCAATAATTATTAGTTGATAGTAATGAACTTCACCGGTGTTTATACTTTAGGTTAACACTTACACAAGATTTACACATAATCCGACAATGGATGTTATAACCATAATATTAGCATCGATGGTATAAGACATGTCTGTGATACGTTCAACAGCAAGGTATAACAGTACGCCAGTAACAACCCAAATAAGTAGTACTGAAGTCAAGGCGCCCAAAACTTCAGCCCTATACCATCCAAATGGCATTGATTGCGTAGCAGGTCTTGACGCTACCCAAATAGCGCATAAAGATATCATAAAACTGGCAAAATCAGTAAGCAAGTGAGAAGCGTCTGTAGCTATGGCCAAACTACTAGACATGTATCCTCCTGGATATTTAATAAAATACATTATAAAAACGTTTGTTATTAGACATTCTATCAAGCACGTACCGACAGCTTCTCCAACCATGAAAAACAAACACAAAGCACTGGCAAATATGAGCTTCCGCCGGGCCTTATTTTGATCTGATGTGCTTTCTCGGTAAGGGTGACAGTGTTCATTGACTAAAAATAAAAATAGTGATATCTTAGACTTTATACATATAAAGGAATACATAAACTTAATAGTACGCAGTATAGACAAAAAGAGTGGCGCAACCGGAATTTATTTTGAGAAGATTTTTTCAAAATAAGTACTTTAAATGAACTTGTTGAGCAAAAAAAGTTCCAAAACGACTAAAATTCAAGAATTTCTTTTATCTCGAGGGGGCGCCACTTGAGTTGAACATCCAAGTAATTGTTGTTTTGCATTTATATATTCTTAGAAGGGGTTTTAAAGATAAATATTTTACAAGTTCATTGTATTTTCCATAAAGTATGAACTGTTCACTAAGGGACATAAGTCGGTTCAAGTTTTTGCACATGTCAATAACATGGCGCTTGTACAAAACAATAACAAAATTTATCATCTTTAATATTCAAATGTTTACTATTATATAAATTGTAAGGTGGGGCTATTAAACGAATGAAGAATCTAATTTTATCAAGACAAATAAGTCAACAAATTGATTAAAGTTCAATTGTCACTGGTTTTAATGCTATTATAGAATTTATCATACTTCGGATATGCAATAAATGAAGTGTTAGGGCATAGTTACTAATTAATATACCTGATATCATAACACGCTAACGCAATTTAAATGAATTTTTATATTAATAGTCATTAATAAATTTCATCAATAATATTTCTAGATCTAAGTTTTCAAGTGTTTTTGTCGAAATATTTTAAACTATTGAGTGTTTAGCTTTGTACTTGATTCGTCTATTTATTTGAACTTGATCAGAATAATCGTAAAAACCAATGATATTTTTAGTGATTTTATAAATAATGGAACATTTTTGAGTACTGAAATTTATGATCAATAAATACTATACCGCGAAATATTAGCATCTAACTAGTGAAGTTATTTTGATTATTTATTATTTGGAAAATTAGCGTACTTACAAATTGTGATTGGCGACTTGGGATCGGACGAGTTCTGTTTCTCGTGGTTGGCGTTAGGGTCATCGGCAGACGACACTAGTGTAGCACAACATCCTGAAGGTTTGCCATGTATACAGTAGACTAGCTGTTTGCCGGTGGACCCTATCGAGGCTTGCCGGTTAAAATGTACTCCAGTTCCCGTCATGGGTGGTGTGCTCATAAACACGTCCTCATTAACGGAACCGTATTTCGGATTATCCGTCAACCTGTGAAGTAATCATAATAATTAAGCACGTGATATTAATGAAACTCGTGAAAATATGGTAGATTAAATGCTTATTACAAGAATACTGTATCTTTATCCATGTAGGCTAGAGAAACTCTGTGTTGCCGTGAAGATGGAACGACTCGACAATATTTTTTTATGCTACACTGTTATATTAATTAAGTTAATGCAAACAACGTCTCGGCCGAAACTATAGACCCCGTCGATTAGGCTGAAATAATGTGAACAATCACAACATTTTTCAATTGGAAGTGGTTTATCTCTATGCAGTAATTGTTCACACACAAACATAAGTGCGATAAGAGGTGTTTTTTGGTTGACTTATATTATACTTCCCCCGATATACACAGTATTTTCTATTCAAATACAATAATAAGTAGTAGGTGTAATATTGTCGGACAATGATCTTTTAAAAGTAATCTTCAAACCTATTATAAACTATTGAAGAAACAACTAATTCAAATTGTCTATTCTATGTTATTCCTAACTGGTGCACTTGTACGTTTAATAAAACAAAATATATATAACACCTGTTAAGAGGATCTATGCTTAAGTTAAATATGACAAAATTAATAGAACATTGTTTCATTAAGATTAAACACAAATGCAAATTCGTATACAGACTAAGTAAAAAATTAACATAAATTATTGTTTTGAGCAAATTTGTAATTTGAAACTACAATTAACAACTATTTTAAGTTCAGCAAAAATATATTATTTAAAAATAAACAGAAAAAAATTTAAGCAATAAATAATTAAGGTTTTCATAAAAATCTATTCAATATTTTACAAACAATTACATTTATAATACAATGCAGATAAGAAACAAGATAACAATAGAAAAATATCTATAGTGTAAATTCGCAAACTAGTTTTTAATTATTTAAGCATTAATTAAATATTCAATGTGAATTAAAATATCCAACAAAATCAATTTTCATACACATGTTAATTAAGCAGATTATACTCAGATGGCTTAAATGACTTAAAAAACGTAACCAAATGTCTTTTAAAACTTATAAACATGTCTTATAAAAATGATCCAAAAAATGTAATATAACACGTTAAATATCAATTTATGTTCTATTAAATTACATTAAAATAATAAATACTTTATTAAAATGCCTTAAAAAAAATTTTAATGTAAATTTTTTTGATTTTTGTATACAATGTTTTAATTTGTATTAAAAATATTATTTTTAGTTCAAAAAGTATTTAAAATTTTTTAAATACTGTATTTTAATCACAATATATTGATTAGAGCGATTTGAACAAAATGTTTGAGAAGTCTAACTTATCTTGTTTCTTCCTTAAATTATTTGTATATAAATAAAAATACAGGTAACTTTCATAATTTTTGGAAGCTAAGCCTTACTAGACTACTCAGATTGATTCTATGAATATTTTTATACATAATATAAAAAAAGTAATACGTATCAAAAATGTTCATTGATTTTCCCAGTACACTCATAATTTGCCTAATTTTAATGAAAGGAAATGATTTTTGCATAAATATCCTTTAAGAAATGTTAAAAACAACAAAAGTAATTTAAAAATAAAAAAATAAAAGTTAAATTTTTTAATTCTTCATTACATAAATTAAAATTTTTACTGAGCAAGAATCGCCTAAAAACACCATATAAAATACAATATGTATTGAAATTAGAGCACTAATACTAAGTAACAAGTCTTTTTTAATAAAAACAATTTCGTAGATTTTATCGGATATTAGAATTCATTGAAAAAATTACAAGATACCACTTACAAAATGAAAAATTTATCATTAAGTCACAAATGTATAGAAAATTATCTTGTCAGTTAATAAATAATAAAAACATTATATTAATAAATATTTCAAATTCAATTCACATAAAAAATTAAAAGAACGTTTATGATTAATTAATAATTCAATATTTTTTTTTTTAATAAATTATTTTAACTCTTTAGGTTTATCCTAAGTATCATTTTGTTTAACAGCTAATAGTGTTTTTTATGAGAATATTTTTAAAGAATAAGAATTATTTTTTACAAGATAATATTTCCTGAAATTTTAGATAAAAAATATAAGTTTTAATTTGTAGCACTTAGACTTACATTTTGATACTAATAAAATCGATTTAAACTATTAAAGCGTAAAATTGTAATAATTAATTTTTCAAGTTATCACATAATTATGATATGTAAAATAGAAATATTCTTATTTTTATTTTTTATTTAAGCGAATACCAAACCTAATATACATCAACAATTAGATACGATATACTAAACACACCCAGAAGGACACACGTGTGTAATATTTATATAGCATTAAATTATCTATTTAATTTTGTTTGTTAAAATCTTAAACAAATAAAAAACTAAAATATTTAATGATTGTCGACAATTTTAACATGAAATTGTGTTTTTTCGATAAAAAAAAATTCTTGTAACGTTCTTAATCGACGATTTATTATTAAAAATACAATTTCTTATTATTTAATATCGTAAAATTGATCAATTTTACTTTTATAAATGCAACTGGCGATAACCAATGATATTAAATTTAATAAATTCATTTGTTTAATGCGCATTTAAATAATGTTGTTCAACCAATAAATTCGCCAAAATAAAACGCCATTTTTTCCAATAATTACTTTAAAGAATAAAAATTTATGAAAATTACACTTGAAAATATTGAAACCGATGATAATTAAAAATACAATGATTTTAATACAAATATCATAAATTATAATTAGAAATATATTTGTTGAAATTCTTCCTGATTTACAAAATTTTGAATAACTGAATTGTCACAAATTAATTTAAAGACCTTGAAAATCAGAGTTAGAATTAGATATATTGATATATTGATATAAATGAGTTAAGAAATAAGAAAATATAGAAACTAACAAATATTAGTAGAGCTTTCCCTTTGCACCTTCCTAACACTTAAGAATATACAAGTTAATTTTAATAACACCGCAACACAATGGAAGATACTATTTAACCATATTTTGAATAAATTTCCTTGATTTTATAATAATGTACGTGTACATCGAATTTGGAATTAAGTGAAAACTACACTTAAATATTAAGAAGACAATTTTTTTTATTCGCCTATTCTATTAAATAAAATAAAAACTTAATTTTAATAAGTATCGTTTAACTTTTTTGTATGTAAATTATTTTGTCTAAATACTTATCATACATAAAGAAACCATAATTTTATACATACAATTTTTCCACAAATAAATAAAATTAATTCAAAATGAAAATATAAAAAAAAAAACTTTTAATTATTTAATTATTTTTCTGAACGCTCATTGCAGCGTAAATTAAAAAAAAAATAATTATTAATACATTATTATTTGTTTGGTGTATCTATCCAATGGAATACTAATTACTATATGATATTTAATCATTACCCGAAATTATACGAATGTGTTATAGTAGTTAACATATCAATAATATTTAGTTGTATGATAATTATCAACAGGAAAAGACATTAAATAGAAATAATCGAAAACAACAGTCAACATAGTTATTAGTAGTAAACTATTTTTATTTTATTGACCAGCTATACATAAACTACTGAACTTGAAGAATACAAATCTTAATAATGTCAGGAAACTTTAATAACTATGCCAGTCAATTTTTAGAATATTTATACTAAGTTCATTATGATGTTATCAACGTCATGAACGTGGCGATGATAACAGTAGTTGTCATGATGTTTTGGTAAGTTAGTGAGTGATATTGTTCCTTTGTATGTAGAACGTATTTACAAACTAAGTATTAAACATTCCAGGTATACAGATCAGACAATATGACAGATTTAATTTATTATACGTGGCACATTCATAAGTTAATAATCACATATAAATAACTTGTGTTAAAAAAAAAAACAATCTGTCTCTCTATATTAGAAAAATGATAAAAGAAAGTGCACGTCAAGTTTTAAGATTTTTACTCTCATTGAATGAATGTCATTGAATAAAACTTTAATCCTCTAATTTTCAAAATATTATAACCTAAATGATATTGAAAAAACTTTACCTAAAAAAATATATTAATGCATCATTTTATTTAAAGATAATATTATTATTTAGTGCTACTGTGTAAGTATATAAATTAAATACTTGACCGACCCTGTGTAGATGGGGTTAAGGCGAGGAAAAAGAAGAAGATGTAGGCATATAAATTAAAATCTTCTAGATTGTTTTAATTTTATATAAATAATATAGTTCCACTTATACAAATTTAATACACTATATCCTTATACGATTAGATCATCTGTGTACTGATAACTAAGAAACTGTTTCAAACACTCAACGTTGTTTCAATAGACAAGGAGACGACCTACTGCGAAGGAAAAGAAGGCAAGTAGGTTAATGATGACTGAGGCCATGCCATATAACTGATATCAGCTTCACACTGTATGTAAACTAAAGTTTGGTGAGAAAGTCGATGGTCATTACTTATATTTTATAATTATTTATAAGTATCTTTTGTTCGATACTACATAAAGAAAAATAAGTAGATTTAAATTAATCTTTGAGTGTTTCTTAATTCAAATAAAAATAATTCTCCATTAATAAACTAGATTGCATCACATATAACAGTAAATTATCCTAATTTATTATTCAGTAAAATATGACTGTATAAAGATACAAATGTGCTCAATATAGATACACCTAATAATTATTTAAATAAAAAAAAATTCTATATTAAAACATTCAATAAATTCATAAAATTTCATAAGTTACAATTAAATTGTATGACACGATCAATTTCTTCATAAAGTTATAATTTTGTCAGATTAATTATAGTAGTACACTTATAAAATTATGTGTAAATTAAGTAATTATAAAATCGACTGTTTTGTTAAAAAGACATACACGTCACAACAGATTTGACAGTTGAATCAGACAAAAAAAGTACATCGCAGTATTATACAATATTTAATTAGTTGATAAATAGTTAATTAATGTTATAGTCTGC